GGTGTTATGAAAAGAAGGTTTAATGGCAGCGCTCTCACAAAATAAACAACCCAGACTCAAACAACAAATGTGGGGGGAAAAGGGACAGTTAGGTTGTGCCAAAAAAACCCACCAAAAAGACAAAACCAAAACTTAGCTGAGCTGAGCCATTATCCTAGAAAAGCAACAAACAGGAGAGAAAAGCCCTAAACCTAATATGTTTGCACATGTATGTCCATTATGAATTCATTATGGGCAGCAAGTTCAAAGATGTTGACTCGGTAAATAGAATTTAAATTCATATAACGATTTACTGGAGGAAGGTCCATGAGTGTCTGTCTTTGTTCTTGTAACTGTCTAGTCAAAAACCATAATGTCCTGGTGTGTCTATGTGTGTGTGTGTCCATATGTATAAATGCATAAGCTCATATCTGCAGAGGAAATATAGACATCTCAGAACCCAGCAGGCACTCTTTTTGATTATAAATTCTTGCTTCTTTTGAAACTTTCTCAGCGTTATTTTGGAGAAGCTAGTACAAACACCGTCCATTTTAGCATTCACACCTTTTCATGAAGCAGGAAATGGTGGACTGTAAACTTTGACTTTGCTTAGCTGTGATAGGAGTGTCCCACTGCCTGTGTGTGTCTTCTGCATTACAGATTAATCTCTCCACGAAGATGTTGTCTGTCCTCTTGTGCATCTTGGCAATCGGTATTAATATATTGTTTTCATTATTAGGGACATTTTTAAGAGAAGCATCTAAAATATAAATGTAAAATTTACTGCATGTTTTTTCCCACCCCCCATAGCCTGGACTGGATTCTGTAGCAGTACACAAGTCAACACTGATGATGTGGAGCAGGTGAACTTGGAAATTTCTCTCGAGGTATGTGAGATAATCTGTATTCTTGAAGTAATAATAATAATCGAATATATTATAATATGATAAGTTACACTTGAATTGTGTAGTGTTCATCTTTAAATGTTAAATGTTAATCAAGAAAGGGCAGCTCTTTGCAACCTTAAACAAAAGACAAACTGTAAAAATATCTTGTGAAAAGGAAAGTCGTTCAGCTTCCTGAGACGACTTTCCTTTTCAACTGGACTGCAAATAACGTGAGGAGTAAGTGTCATGCCGAGGTAGTTATCCCTGACATAATGTGTTTCCTCTGTATTTTGCCTCCATTTCAATCATGGTGACCTCTCACAAATGCACACCAAAAGCTCCATAAAAAGCAATAGAAGAGCTGTACTGCGGTGATTCAATTCATCTTTCTTTTGTGTGCTCAGTTTTTATTCTACCAATACAAAGATCTTAAAAATCTTAAAAATATGTGTCCTTGGGATTTGTGTGTGTTGTGTTTAGGGCTGTAGCCTCAGGTTGATATTGTTAAAAGGTGATTATAAACAGTGTGTTTCTCCTATTTTACAAAGTAACATAAAAGTTATGTAAGAAGTAGTATAACGAATCACTTTTTTCTATGACTAATTAAGTAACATAATGCATTATTTTTAAGAAAAGTGTTCTGTGCAACATGTGTAATAATTGCTTTTTTGAGTAACAACTCCTACAATGATCACAACAAAAAGGGGGAATGCCTCTATAAAAATGCACAAACATTTGGCCCACAGCATGCAAGGTACTCTTGTCCTTTTTTTAGCATGCACTGGTTTTTTCTTATGCGAAAGACAGGATGTGGAGACCAGAAGTTTTTTTTCCCCCTACTGCTTGTGATCCTGCTGTCTTTCTGCCTTTAGTTTTTACATCCTGTGTTCACTGATTACTCATTCTTGCCTCTCTGCTTTTTTTTTTTTTTTGTCCGTTTTTTTGCTCTATTGTCTAAAGGTGAGCAAAGATGCCCAACGGATTTACTTTACCAAATGGACCACCCCAGCCTTGCCATAATGGTCTATTTGATTCAGCTTTTATTGTTTATTTTATTTTTTATTTTCACTTGCTAAATATGGGACAGACTTGACTGAGGAAAAGAAAGAGGGAAAGAAAAACAGCGAAGAAGAGGGACGGGGATAAAGGGCAAAAAACAACAAAATAAGCAGACAAAAAATACATATATCAATCACCTGGATCACCTGTTGAGAAAGAAAAAAGAAAATAAGAAGAAGAAAAAGAGAGTAATAGAATAAACAACATCAC